GTTACCAACCAAGACGTAATAAAAAACCTGAAAAGTTGCCCCATGTCGATAAGACAATCAAAATAACAGCACAGTATTTTTTTTTTCCTTCAGGTTCACGCCTTCTGCTTTCACAAAATTATTGAAAATGTCTATTTTTGGTTTCCTTTGCTTTAGCAATGCAACTTCCCTCAAAAACAGTCGAATCAACATTAAGATGCAGCTCGTTGTCGGCGAGCAGCCTGGACAGCCCCAGTGATGTTGCGATGCACTGAAGGGGCGGCGGTGCCGTCCACTGCACGGCAAACACACAAAACTATTGTGTTTCAAAGCACCTCTATGACGCATAGGATTAAAGTCAAATTTTTGTTTCAAAATTTATTTCTTGCCCAATTCAGAACAGCACATATTTGTTACAACTGCACATAAAAATGTGTCCTGCACCCTAGGTTCTCGGATGCGGATGCTCAAAAATTAGTTCCCAAGGTATTGTATTATTAACTTCAAGGAACAAATTGGACTGGCAACACTTTCCGCTTCTGAATTGGTTGTCTGATGTTGGTTTGTTCAACTTATAAAAAGTGATTCTTAAGCTTTATCATGCGCTTGAGACGTCAAGGTCATCGCTATTCGCCCCTCGTATTTTTCCTATCAATCGGTGATCGCCTGTATTTGAAGTTTCAACTTCATACTTATAGGACACAGGTGAATGCTCAGGGGTATATTTTCTTGAATTTTAGTCTGTCGTCCTGGGCACTCCAATACCCCTGACTACCGCCTGGTACATTTCTCCGTCCCTCTCTCTCCCTCACCGATACGAAAGTAATGATGTTCTTTCTTTCTTTCTGCCTGAGAAGAGAAAGTGGAGCCATGATTTTCACGGTCCGAGTCCTGCTGCGGAGTCCCTCGAAGGTCCTCATCCGATCTGCATCGTGCAACACGGGAACGGCAGCCCCCGCTCCACCTCCTCTCGCTTCCGGGGGAAATGCGACGGGAAACACCGTGACGAGCGTCCGGTGAATGCATTCAAAACACATCAAATGGAGATACGGGTTTAAACGATCTAAGCTCACGGAAAAGCTCGTCGTAAATTTATCGACAAGACCGGAAGAAAAAAATTTGCAAAAGGAGGCATTGTAAAGAGAAAATACAGCGTTCACGGATCATAAACTGAAATGGGGAAGGTGCTGCGCGTGAAGTCCTCTCCCTTCTTTCAGATTTTGCGTCTCTGTGTTGCTGAAACCTTGACGGTGCATTTAAAGAGGGCGCTGTTTGGGGATACGTTCCACCCTTCTTACCTCTTTCAAGTTCTGCCTGAAGGAGTTTCGAATCACACAATTACAAATCCAGGTCCAAGAGACAATGATGGCAGAATTCTAGTCCTCGCTTTGTCGAGTTCGTTCACGTTCAATGCATTCCAAGTGCCTTCGTACGTTTTTGGATCGACTCGGTGCAAAAAGTTCGTAGAGGAGTACGAGGCCTATTTCAAGACTCGTCGTGTTAACACATTCGCTGCCAATCACGGCGATAGTAGTTTTCGTATAGTCGTTCTCCCAGCGCCAATGACGGCTTGAGCCATTTAAATGCCTGGCAGTGAATGTGTTAATACAATACAAATCCACTGTAAAACGATTGGATATACCAACATACAGCCATATACATCTTTTTACCCTCCGTTTCCTATTTCTTGCATTTGAGTTCTTCCTAGTAAGAATGTATTACTAGTGGAACTCGTAAGTTCTGTTCTGTGAGTAGCAGTCCTATTTTGTCCTGCGGATAGAGGAAAATTTTAAAACTGTCTGTTCGGCAAGGAAAAATCGTTTACGTCTGCTGCTTTTCGATGCTCCATTCACATTCTTAGAGATGCTTCCATGTTTGTGGATCGATTTTGGTGAGTGATTTCTGATATAACTCAGATATTGCTTCCGGAACCGACACAGGACATACATAGACTATAGCGAGTAAGCGAAGAACATTTCACTCGATTTTCAGCGAAGACGGCTTCACCTTCAAACCTTAAAAGAAGCGGAAGAAAAGTAAGAAAAGTAAACGTTTTAAAAATAATATAACTATCGCTGGATTTGACTGGATTTGCAGCTGCAAGAGCCACCGTCGTATCGCGATACCAGAACCGCACAAGCAAACGAAACCCAGCAGGAACAGGCCTGGACATGTGCGCACCAAGTTAACCTAGGTTGAGGTGGAAGGTGGGGATGGGGGTGGGGATGAGGGTAGGGAGGGGGGTAGGGGTGGGGATGGGGTGGGGATGGGGTGAGGATGGGGGCCCCCCACCCAGGGCCGGGTCCTTTGCCTGGGCAAACAATGGATAATGGAGTTTTTTCCTCTCTTTCCTCCAACCCCGATTAGGAGAGGATTTAGCTGAGGTTCCCATTCCTTTCCCTCCCCTCGCTTAGCATGACCCTGCCTTGTCAGCTCGACCCAGTTGCATTCCTCACAATTATTTCAGGACCAGTTCTTTTGAAGAAAAGTTGACACCAACCGTAGGGTACAGGAAGCGGTCCACGTGGGCACAGCCTATGGGGTCCTCTAAGGCAGAGGTTTCCAAACATTTTTGAATCGCATTTCACAGCGAAGTCTCGATGGGTCACGACCCACCATATGGGAACTCCTGCTCAAAAGAGTGATCATGGCTAGCAAGGCTAATTTACATCATTTTTGAGACAGGCGAGAAGGAAAATCTGAAAAAATCTGAGAGGAGTTTAAAAGAGAAGAGACGCCATATTCCATCTCGAGTTATGTGGAATCAATCCAGCTTCAGTCCCATCTGTCGTTAATTCCAACTCCACAAAAACGGAACCTTACAGTAGCAGGGGAGAAATTCCATCAGCTTCATGCTGTGGCATCATTTAGAAATCGTTTTAATTTCTCAATTTTAATTACGCAAAACTGAACAGGGCTTGAATTTACACCTGAAACCCATCTCATCTGTCACATCAAGAATGTTTGCTAGCTCGGTGAAAGGATGGAAAGGAATAAAAATCACTTTCAATGGCCGAAATCTAATTTAACACAGCACGAAATATAACTTTTCCAATTAGATTTATTGCTCTTTGAAGCGGAAAAATTTGAACGTGGGCTGATGGTATCGATTTTTCTCTTATGCATATCGAAATCGAACTTTGTAATGACGAAACAGGACTGAGACATTTGAAATAGGGAGTGAAATTCATATTGACAGGTGCAACCTACCATCGATCTGCCCAAGATCTTCATCGTCGGGTGATCGATGTGGGATGATCCCCTAACAAATTCTGACGTCCCACATCCCACAACGGACATCCCATGGACATGTGAGGGATTTGGCGTGTAGGACATCAGTATTCCTCACCTTCTGGAATGTCCTCTGGATGATCCAGGATATCCACATCCGCAGGACATTTCAAGGAGACATCAATGGGATATGCCATTTGTCCTACGTGGTATCCATATGGAATATCTCAGGGACAGCGTCATATTTCTCCTCGTGTGGCGCCCCTGGGCAGGGCGTCAATGACGCCCCAACCCCCCCCCCACCCTTGGCTTTTTTATTCATCGTGTCAGTTAGTTCTCCCGTCCCTTGAACTGGTATCTGCGTATATCCCAAGTAACACAATATGTTGATGAAACGTTTTCGAAATGTTGCCTATGTTGCTCTATTTTGCAAGTTGCTGTGCAACATTGAGAAAACATTGCCTCAATGTTTTCACTTGGAATTTCATCAACATTTCCTAAACGTTGCTGGAATATCTTGTGTTACTTGGGTGAATGGCAAGGCCCAGTCTTCTTATTCAAAATGTGCCTCTTCTTGCGCCTGCGGGAACTCATTATTCCTGCATTGATTTTTTCATTTCCTTAAGGGTATAGCAAACCTTTCATGTGGGTCATACATTGTAGGAGGTACCTTTTTAGAGTAAAACTTATACTGTGCATTGACCGAAATTTCTCCATTTCATCTTTTTACAACTATACAGTATTTTCACTGTCCAACACATTTTTTTTCTTCAATTTTCTCTGCCTCATTCGTTTTCCGCTTGCTTCTCCTACCTCCCTTCTCGGCGCCTCCTTCATTAGGTGGTGCTCTGGGGCAGGTGCTTCCCCTTGCCCCCCCCCCCCTCTTAATTACGGCCCCGTTCAGGGATGTACTGTTGCTTATTGGACTCTCACTTGGTATACAGCCACCCTCGCTTTCCGCCAGCTTTTTCCTGAGGCCAAATCTTCCCCATAAGCTTACAATAGGCCAACTCCCGTTATAGAGCCACTCTTGCAAGCCGCCATTCACCGCCATCATTTGTAGAAACGTGTTTCCCCCCCCCCTCCCACATAAATCCAATTCGATTTTGCGCCAAGTAGCATACATGCCGCAACCCTTATCCACCATTAAAACACTGCTAAATATTTGTTGCCATCTTGAGAAGCGACTCATTGCCGTATCGACGGGGGCTAAGGATGGCAATGCAAGCTTCACATGCATTTAGTCGATTTGGCCTTTGGAGATTTCGATATCGTAGCCACTAACATACTGCGTTCATTCGATATGGCGCTGTACGGAGGGTTGACTGTATAACGACAGAAGTTGAATCCTCAACTTGCCTCATCGGCTGAAGCACTCATAAGAGGAAAGAAGAAAGAGATTGATGCAGGCGAATCCAGATGCGCGCTGCACCATTTTCATTTAAACTTTTTCGTCCCCGTGTCTCGACAGAAAGACCAACAAGAGAGTGTGGGCATCTTTGCGACTCCTTCCTAATTTCGAAATAAGTTCTTTTGATGCTGATGATGGTGGCTCTTTCAACGTGGATGGCATATTTTCTTTCGATCGTTCCATGCACCCTTTAAACACATTTGAGCTAAAGTGGTGTTGAAAGTGCTTCCATTCGCACTTGGCGATGCCTCCAGCTCTCCCCGGCCACCGGCGAACATCGGGCATGATGGAATGGAAGCATGTATCTGTAGAAGAAAAGAAAAACTCGAGAAAGAAGGCGCTGCTGGGAGAGAAGGCCGGGCATTTCATTTCACTCTGAATGGACCTTGAAGAGTGGGGAGTTTTTTATCGAAGCGCCGAGACGGAGGTCCGCACTCCCATCCAGGTCTCCGTTGCCAACTCTCCTCCGCTCTCTCGCACTCCGCCTCCATCATCGCCATGCAAACTTGGGCCTTTCCGCTTCTCGTGAGTCTCCTCTCGTGTTTTCATTGCAAAGTACTGGATTCCCTGAAGGTTTGATGCCACATGTCAAGAGTGCACAGCAAAAGATCCGATGCGAAACCATGGCCTCCAAATTTGCTTGTATTCCGAATATCGTTAGGTCTACACCTAATTCCATCGAAAGATAGGTTTTGCATAAAAATGCGGTAAAGAAACCCCCCCCCCCCGTATGATCTGGTGGCAAAAGTCTTTCCCTGAGCCTTTCCGATAATCTAAGTTTTTTTTACCAATCCTTCTTTCTTGAAATTTGACTTGAATTTTCGGGATTACCCCAATAGGTTTCATGCTCAAGACACCTCGAAAGTAGTGTTAATTTTTGTCTCGAGGAGTTGGACACTTTTGTGATCCAATTAGTTCATCGAATGAATGGAATAAATATTAGTTGTAGCATGTACCAATCTTACTTAAATTCAGCTCAAGCTTTAAATACACTTATTCGGAACTTCATTTTTTTTAGACTAGTACTATATCTAGCATCTTTATAGTCAAACACTCTATTTATTTTTAATCATTTTATTATTTACGTATCATAAACTACTGACTTTAGTTCTTTTGCAGCAAAATTCCAACAAGTTTCAAAGGATCGACGTATATCGGTACTTTTTTTAATGCATGAAAATGAATCATTTTTGCACAAATTAAATATTAAAAAGTAGCTGTTGAAGAGAAAAAAAAACCGAGATGCTGGAAATGCAGGTAAAAGAAGTAGCCGCAAATGCGCGCTTAATATGGAACCGTTCCGTGGAACCCATTTGAGGGGGTGGAGAGTTTTTTTATGCGTTAATGCGTGAAAATTCTCCGACTTAGTTGGAAAATAAAGGATTGTGCCAGCTGACCTTTTAAAAACTGTGCGTCAGCTTAGCAAATAGGAAGTATGAAAAGGAATTCTAGTGGCTAACATGAGCAGCACAAAAAAAGAGGAATTTTCGGGAGACCCACAGGTATGAGAAGTAAGACAGAAATAAAGAGGTTCAAGCTTTCTGGTTTCCTAATGAAGCACGTTTTGCAGTGGTCCCAAAAAAGCAGCATTTTCTCAGTATCAAAGTTTAAAATGAACATGGAATTATTCAATTTTGCGTTTGGAAAATTTCGCGGCTGAATTTGTTCGAGGCAATATAAAAGCACGCGATAAAATTGGGATTTATAATTCGGTCACCGGAGGTTTCGCAAGGACTCGGGGGGAGCATTGTCGCATGTGCATGAGCATGTGCAACCTTGAGTCGACCGGGTCGAGAAGGGGAGACTTCGGGAATGTAGCGAACTTGCGAGGTCACCGGAGATTTCTTTATTTTTGACGTACATATTTTTGTACCGTTTCGGACCGTTTTTCCCCCCATTTGCGTACATTCATGCAGAATGAATAAGAGCTGGAAGGTGAGCTTGGCACTCTCATCCCCATGTTTATGCAATACAATTCTCTCCGTGAATATTTCTCTCGCTGAACACAATCCCCAGGAATTATTCCTCGAGAGCTGTGATTCCAACGTCCTTGTGCCTTCTCATCCATCACTTCATTACCAACGTATAATCAAATAACATTGTGGGTTATGACCTTTACAGACCACCTAGAAAGCGGTCATCGAGTGAGCCAAATCGATCAAATTATGTATATACGATAGATACAAGTTAATGATTTCTACACGAAATATGATGTATAAAAACACAGTGAACGTGAGAAAAGACGAAGATTGACACGAAAGGATGACCCATTCTCAAGTCGGAGGCTCGACAACATAGTTTCCGCAAATACTTTTCGTACAATTTCTTGCCATAAAATACAATAGGATAATAAGTTTTAAATGCCAAAGGGGCAACATTATGGCGGCGAGATGAGGGATTCAGTCATTATGGATGTCTCTTCCACAACTTCTTGCCTTCCTCATGTCACAACTTCTTGCCTTCCTCATCGTGCAAAAAGACAGATGTGTATTTCTGAAATAAGGCTTTTCTATATATTTCCGGTATGATTGTCGGATGCCACGATTTGTCTAGGACGGTCTCCGAATTTTTACCTTTGACTCTCCTATTCCTGACGGGAATGAGATTATACTGGTTTCTCGCCTCGCGTACGGGTTCCTCCGGCTTCTCATCAAACTCAACAAGATAGGTTTCGCGAAATGTGAGAGGCATTGCAAGTCGCATCCATGGACGCACCACTCTGTGCCTATGGTTCTCTGGATCCTCGCATAGCTCTGGATTCACAAATCTATTCTCTCGCATCGTGCCGACAGAAAATGTTCCGCGTTGCTTTTCAGGCGGGTAAATAGGACTTTAGAGTGAAAGCATCCGGTAAATTTTCACCACCCAGATAAAGATTCTTCGTGAACATTGCAGTCATCGCATCGAGATCGGCATTCCTGCTCAAGTATTTCAAGTCTTGAGTCCTTGTGAATGTTCTCGCAGCAAGAGTAATTAAATAAAGTTATATTTCCGATCGAATCAATTAAGAAATAACATAATTTTTATGTTAAGTGGATTAATCTATGTAAACCTCGAAATCTCTTTCCATCTTTTTTTTTTATCTGTTGCAATGGCGTTGGCTATAGATCCCAGATTACCACGCACTGAACACTCGGATCGCAATTGAGGCTAAGGAATTTGTATTCTAATGAAAGGAAAGCCTCAAAGAAACCCAAAGAGAACCTAGAAAATTTCGCTTGCAGGCTCATAGGTTGATACCGTTTGGAACGTTATGCTTCTCCTGCACGATGTGGAAATAACATTTAGGGTTCTCGTTACCCGGTAATCAGAGCTGGGTGGAGTTCCTCGATGAGCCCCGAGGGGAGACAGGGAGACCGAAAGGAGACTGAAAGGAGAAACACGAATAAACAACCTAAGTTTCATCGCTGGCAATTTCGTAACGACGAGATAGGATCTCTCTCTCTCTCTCTCAATGCAGTCGTGATTTTCTTTCTCCTCATCTCAAAAGGGAAAGTCTGCGGTTTGACCTTGATAAAATAAAAATGAAAGGACCCGCAAAAAGGTCAAGGACTATCGAGGAATGCGAAGATTTCATAAAGTCCTTATTTCCTCACGCCGGCCCTCGGTAAAGTTTCATCCCTTCGGGGCAAAAATAGACCCTTCCGGTATTCCACACCCCTCGTGCACTGTGGCAGAAATCCTATGACGTGCACTGTTATTTTCTCGGAGGAAAGATCCTTGAAGCTGTGTCCTTGAAGGCACCGATTCGCAGACCTTTGATCTGGATGGGAGCGGTTGCTTTCCATTCCGTCGTTCGGGTACAGGAAGCAAGGATCACGGTATTCTCGGATCCGTCGTGCACGATGGGGTGAAATGATCGGGGGGGATTCAGGAAGTCAATTGCACAGAAACAATGAAAAAAAAGATCGGTGAGTCGGAACCAGGACACGGCGACACTTTCCCTTTCTTTATTCCACCACTCTTCTCGATTTCTTGGAATCTCCGGACTGGAAGAATTGCGAATCCATCGCGGTGCGTTTGCGGAATGCAGGACCGCAGGAGACGAAGAAAATACTTTCTGTTTCGGCAAGAGGAAAAACGGTATCCAAAGATGGTGATGCATCTTACGCATAAAGGATGGAAAAGGAGTGAAAAAATGTGCACTCCTCTGTCGGTGTATTCTTTGTTTTGATTTCGTCTCCAGGAAACCACGAGTTCGAATTTTCCTGGCTACGTATCGCTCGGTTCCCTCGATGACGTCTCCCACCCTTTCCCTGGATCGCACCACGGAAGAGAGTAACGCTCTTATTTTCTCGTTAACAGTTGTTGGCCGTGACGGCCTGCGGCCAGAGATCGGCGGAAGAGGCAGAGAAGAAAGTCCCACCCGTGGGAATCAAGCGCTACGTGAACCAGGTGAACAACGACGGCTCTTACACCTACGGCTTCGAGAGCGAGGACGGAACCTTCAAGCTGGAAACCCGGGACAGCCTGGGAAACGTCAAGGGCAAGTACGGCTTCATCGACGAGAACCAAGAATTGAAGGTCGTGGAATATGCGGCCGGGAACGGGACCGGCTTCGAGGCCAAGGGGAATTTCATCCCGGAGAACCCCAACCCCAGTCCTCCTCCTGCCGGTCCTCGACCGCCTCGTCGGGATGAGATCCAGAAGGAATCGTCGAGGCCACGTCCGCAGAAGGTCCCCAAATCATTCATTCTCGTAAAACGATTCGGATTCCTTGACCTATGTGTCTTCCTCCCCACGCCGACACCCAGACCGGCGTCTTCCCGAAACAAAGTGGGCACTAAATGAAGGGTGTATGGCGTAAGAATAGCGAGTAACTGACCGGTACGTGACGAGCAATGGCCTTGCACTCTGGGAGCTCCGACTCGCAAAAATTCGGGAAATGATTAACGTATCACATTACGGGCTTCTCTCATTTCAAGGCCGAGCAATAAGGAAATTCTCTCCTCGATTTCCTTCTCTCTCTCTCTCCCTCTTTTTCTCTCCCTCTCTTTCTCTTCCATTCTAGTTTCTTTCACTCCTGGTAAGCGATATTTCTTTTTCTCAGGAAAAAGTGGATTGCGAATGTGTCAACAAGTCGAATGGTACTGCGTATGCAGCACAATTCATCGGATTTTCTTGACCCAACCGGTTGCATATGAACAAGTTTTTCGCCCCTATCCCAGCTCCATCTGAGAAGCTGACAAAAAAACGATAAACTCACTCTTTGTTTTTCCCACCGGGACACTCGATGTAAGAAGCTAAGAGATGTTGAAGACAACCCCAATCAAATTCGCAAGCAGACTGCTGAAAAGCCGATGTGCAGATTCTTTGTGACCCTTGCTATCACGAATTGCTTCATGGTCACTGTTCTCGCTTCCGTTTGCATTTAAACGTTCGTAAGCGTGCAAGGAATCTCATGCTCCACCACCACCACGCATGCTGTTTCCCCTCGGCGCCTCACGAATGTATCAATAGGCTGTCACATTTATAAATTGGTTTCAAACTGGTTTGATTGACATGTCTCAACTGATGAAACTGATGCGAAATGAATTGCACTGTATTCCAGGGACTCAAAAGGCCTGCATCACCACCGTCACCACCATCACCTCAACAGAACTCATTCGACTACGATTACGATGACTACGACGGCACCGGAGAGTCACCGTTCGTCGGCGGATTCCAGCCTCGACCGAGTCCCGTCGGTGGATTCCGCGGAAATCCAGCGCTGGGAGGCTTCCCGCTCCCACCTCCGCGACCCGACAGGAACTTCGCCAGGCAGAACTTTCAATCTCGACCGTCGAGACCCGAATTCCTTCCGTCGAGGTCCGCTAGACCCAACTTGGACGAACTCCGAGCCGTACCGATCCGGGAACCGGATGGACCTGGCTTCCTCGGAGGATTCGTTCTGCCGCAACAGCTGTTCCGCGCGAACAATCTTCGGAGTCCGGTCATCCAAGGTCGTCCGGGGCAGCGCGACGGTTCGCGGGAACTGCAACAGACCCCGATCTTCGATCCCAGTCGAGGCGTCTTGTTGCAACAGCTCCTCTCTCAGAACGGAAACCTCGATCCGCAATCGTTCCAGCCTCAGGGGATACCGATCCCATTCCAACCGCGACCGGGGTCCGTCCCGCTTCAATTCCGACGACAGTTCGAGAACCCCCGATCCGTACCGCTCCGACAGTCGGTTCCGATCCAGACGTTCGGCGGACAGCAGACGCGGCCCTCCAGACCCGGAGAGAACGGGAACTCCCGACGGGAGCAACAAGCCTTCGCTCCGTCCCGGCCGAGACCCAGTGACGACGAGGAAAGCAGCGACTACGAACTCGATGGCTTCTCCGAGGACAAGGACCGAGATGGCTTCGTGGATCCGCTACCGACGGATTCCCGGAGAAGACGCCCGGAAGGAAATAGAGTCCCTTCCGTCTCTCCCCAGTTCCAGTTCACGCAAGATTTCGGATCTCAACAGAGTGGCCCAGAATTTAACGACTATTGAACGAACTTTATGATCGAGACTCGGCTGCTACGAAAACGAGAGTTGGGTCTGTCTGACGAGTCGAATTCGTGACCTCGAAGGGAAGAAATGAGAAAGCCGCCAATTTAATTAATCCCATCGAGAAAAGAAGAGGAGAAAAAATCAAAGGACAACTCACATCATTTCACGAATGAGCCACCGTCATAACTTCCGTAAGACGAAAACGAGGTCATACGTTTATCTAAAAATAGCCGTTTCGTTTTCCGTCCATGGACTATCTTTGTGAAACCGTTTCGGTGAAGGCACCAGAAAGCGACTCATCTGTCTGCTTATCATCAGCATGGAATGAATGATCGCATGAATATTACCCATGCTGTGATGTCATCTCATCTTTCATACCGTTCTATCTTTTGTCTGTTGGTTAACAGGTTTACGTTTTTTTTTGCGGCCGTTTGTCCGTGCATTTTGCCTGTAACGTTCCCTGTATATTTCTATACGATCGCAATGAAATAAAGCGCTATATGAAGTTGAGGCTTGCTTTACGACGCACTCCATCGCCTGCATATCCTTGTCCAGTTAACAATCTGTACCCAGCTCTCTGGCAGCCCTGCCTCTGGCTACTTGCGACTCCGATTCCCGTTCGATTTCGATCATATTGCATGTCGTAAAGGAGAACTGCCGAGTAGAGTTACGAACAAATCACGCATATATTTGAAATGGATCAGAAGAGGATCAGCGATAGGAGATGATATGAGACCAGAAATCGAGATCTGAGCCGATAATTTTTTGAGCCATAGACTGAGATGAAAGTTCTTGTGTTGTCGACCTAATCAAATTAGAGCAGGAGACCTAAAACTGAATGTTTTCTTCCTAAAGTAGAATGAAAGTGCATGCTACGTCATACTGACAAAGAGAAAAATATTATTCAGCAGATTTTTCACTCTGAAAATTGTTATATTGGGATTCGATGGGATTCCGAAGACCTGGTCGGGGCCCACGCGTCCCTGTTGTATCAACACAGGGAGGAGAAACCAGGGAGTGTGTTGGAAGACTTTTGCAGTCGCCTCATTTCCAAACGGGAGGAAAATAATAAAGCATTGTTTACAACTCCCAAAGTACCTTCCTGGCTCTCTAAGGCAGCCTCGAGAGCCTTCACTCTCTCCCGCGGAACTCAGGAACGAAAACTTGCCGGCAGCCAGAGAGAGGAGGCAGAAAACAATGAAGTCGAGCTTGAATTTGCCAAAGGTGCCTTCTCGGGTCCTCAGAGATCTCTGAATATCCAGGGAATCTCTAGATTGAAAATCCTCGACCAAAAGCGGAATTGTCGACGGCAAGCGAAGGTTTCGGACAATTTTTCAGAAGCCTTTTCATCTTTTCTTTATCATATCATCCTGAATCCAGGCTGCCTTGAATGTAATTTCAATTTCAATTTCGCATTTTCTGAAGTCAGTTTGAAAATCGTTTTCGATGTTGTTTTCCTCTTGAAAATTGGGTATGGGCTGTCTTGAAGCCATTATTTGCCTCGCTGTTTTTATTGTTCCGCTTTATGAAGCCACGAACCGATATTCAAAATGTAGAGATATCTCGACATAGGATTCAGGAGGATATTAATTTTGACCGTGGAGGATTTCATGGAAAGAGGAGTAGGTTTCCAGTATACGTCGATTGCATCTTTAAAATGATACCGGATTTAAAAGATATTTAAAGAATTTTAAAGTAATCAAGGAAATAGCTTCTGCAATCCGACGTGATTTGCCCGAATACAAAAGTCAATGTAAAGATTTAAAAAAAGGCTTTCAAACAGCCTTACTTATAATGAGCGTGTGGGACGACATAAAAAGAAACAACAGAGCAGCTTAAGAAGTGGATTTAGAAATTTCAGTGAATCCTTAATATACCGCCGAACTCACACATCATCGGCAATTTTTCCGTAAAGTTTCCATAAGCTTATTATAAGCGATCCCCCGTTGTAGTGGCACCTCCTCAAGCCGCATCCAAAAAACACAAGAAGTAATCCCAGCGGTTCTTACCCTTTTCTTTGTAGCGGCACACTTTTCGGGCAGCGAGATATCAGCAGCACCCCTGCAAATTCGCGAACCTCCAAGCAATAATATATTGGCCAAACAAGAAAAATTTAAGAAAACCAGGACCTTTGAATTCATAAAAGGCTATTTTCAACTGTCACTTGACAAGACGATCATTTCAAGAAAACTCTTGATTTTCATGCGATACCTGTGCCCGCATCCGGTTCCACAAAAAAGCAAAGATAAACTTACGGCTCAATATATGAAGTGATACAAGGTAGATCATTTGCAATGCCTTGATGGGATTTTAGCTTCTTTTTTTAGTATGCAGAGAAAGAGAAGGCAAACATACATATGCGATCAGGATCTTCATTGTAGCAACAGCATTCATTTTGGTATTCTTTCTTCAGAGGTACACTCTTCAAAAAAGTTGTGTTCCTGGAGTAGTCAATTATTTATTGAGAGAGTAGGCTGAAGTGAGAAGTATTGTACTTTGAAAGCGGTTCTTCAGAAGAGGTTTGGTGCTCACTCCATGAGGTGACCCTCGATTACGCCACCAAAGGGGCATTGAAGCCTCCTGCCCTTCTTGCCCTACTTAGGCCAACGAAAGCTGGTCACACCCGCGGCACCTTGTTAGCCTCTTGCTGCACCCGTGGGTGCAAAGGCGCACAGGTGGAGACCCGCTCATTCGTGCAATATAGATGTGCTTCTTCCACGTACCTTAGACCTTTCGCCGAGTAGCATACCGGCCGCAACCCTTGTACGGTGCGGCGCTCGGCTAAATACTTGTCGGCTGCGACCCGATCGCGTGACCGATAGCGAGACCGTGAGAGATGACTCATACCAGTGAAATGGATATTGCATAGGAAAAGGGTGGAGTATCGGAGGGGAGTGAAAGGTGGCAAGATAAACTTGACATCCACTTAGTCGATTTGCCCTTCGGAGATTTCGGTATCATTGCCACTAGCACGCTGCGGTCGATTCCGTGGAGCACCATCCTCTTTGTTATCGGAGACGATGGACGATGGTGCCATTGATCGTGTCTCGACGGATGGTCTTTGAAAGGATTGCGCGGAGAGACGCACATCGGAAGTGAATCCGTGGAGAATGTCTCCGACGATCGCTCCACGATTCAGGTGTTCCATTATGGAATGGGAAGACGATATCCTCACGCGAAGGGGGAAGGCCGTCGACGGTGCGAGCGAGGAGTCTCCACGCGCCCCAGGTAAAATGATATCCTGACAACAACGCAAGAGAATCCACTTTTGTCTCATATTGTCCTCAAATATCGATATTAAAAGCTTCCCATGGATGGGAAACGCACTCGCTCGCATTTGTCACCGCAGCTAAATACGAGACTTGCAAGGAAAAGGGTGGAGCCTCTTGGCCAAATCGCGAGAGGCAGTGGAACGCACCTTTTCACCCAAGATTATACGAGGTCGTTTCAATAAGTTAAGACACTTTAATTAATTCTGTCTCTAATATATTTTATTATGACCGTCTTCTTTTACAGAAAGTGCAATTTGTAGCGGCGCATTTTGAAAGTTTAAGGCAGTGATGTACAACCCGGAGACCTTTTTTGTGGCCCCTTGGATGCCTCCGGTCTCAAAAGATCCGTATTTATATGCGGTCTATTTCGGCTTAGGTTCGTGGACTTGCGACCCTCATAACCCCTCGAATATGAGCCGAAATCTCAATTTTGACCCTCTATGGGGAAAAGGTTGTGCACCACTGGCTTAAGGAATCCGCATGCGTCCAACATATTGATAGAACAGCACTAGTTGGGGTTTAAATATGGCGGCACCGCTCGCAAACTGGACACTGGAGGAACGACGCGCAGTAATTCTTTTTTTTTGTGGTCAGATGGGGGTGCAAATTCGTGAAATATACACAAGAATGTCGATACAGTATGGAGACAACGGCATGAACCGTAGAAACGTATCGAAGAAGGAGAAACGTCGGGAAAAGGACATGGGCAACAGGATAATGCTCGACCTCAAACATCCCGTTCAACAGCTGAAACTGCCACAGCTTGGTTCGGATGTTCTTCCACATCCACCATGTAGCCCCAACTTCGCCCAGTCAGATTAACATCTTTTTGAATCACTTAATGAGGCATTACGAGGCAACCACTTCAATGGTAACCAAGCTATGAAAGAAATACATTCCATCGTGGCTACGGCATCGACCCAAAGAGTTCTACGTCGCAGGCATATGCAATCTATTAGAGAGATGCAACAAATGCATTTCTGTACAGGAGGATTATGTTGAAAAGCAAGCGCAATATCATGACCAAGGAATAAAAATTACTAGCTTTATGATGCTTTATGTCTTTACTAATTGAAACACCCTCGTATTTATACATTTACCTAAATACTGTACCTTGCTTCCCCCTCCAACGATTGAGCCTTCGGGGAATTACCTTCGAGATAGAGCTATCCATGCTTGAGGAAATGGTCGAAAGCCCTGAATCGCCCGTTATTCCCATTCACAACTTCCATCTTCTCATTTTTAATGGGCTTCCTTTCTCAAAAGAGATCACATATAGTCCCGTCTCGTCTGAGTGTCTGTCTCATCCTTTGTAGTCCGACGATAACTATTTTAAAAATTTCATCTGATCCCGGTGAAGATCAGTATGCCGATCTTCACAGTCAAATACGGGCAAACGGGATATACGGGCAAAACAGTTCTAAAACAGGCTAAGTTCGTTTATGCCAAAACGTGTGCCAAAAACAGAACTTGTATCGCAAATTTTTCATTTTGAAACATTCTTACTGCGAAGAAGGCATGACAAACTGTCAGCCTCTTCAGAATCTCACTTCAGGATTCTTATCCTACGCGTATGCGTTACGCCTGGCCTGGATCAGTGTCAGGTCTCTAACCAGAGTTACCTGCTTCCCCCCAGCTCTCATATCTGACGGACCCATTTTTGAGTAAGGGTGAGAGATGCAGCACGTGCCAGCGTGGACAGGATTACAAGCACAAGTGACAGCAATGCGCCATCTACTCGACTCTCAACTTACATACCACATCCTCCGGCTGTTCCCGACAGTCGATGAAAGGAGGCCCGGTACTAAACTGGGCTTGCCCGGCTTATTTTTCTTCGTCGCATTCCCTCTCTACATGGCTGACTCGCACCGGGAGATGAGAAGAAGGAAGGTAGAAAGGCAAAGGACACACGCTGGGAAGTTCATGGGGTACTTGGGTTCCATTGTGAAATCGCTGCCTCACTCGGTCTGAGAATCTCTTCCTCCATACGAGTTCCTGGTGATGACAAGGTGAACGATTGGAGTTCGCCTCGCAAAGCCTCGCGTCCCATGGCTGCAGGACGCAGCCGGCAAGTCTCCACATCCACGCATTCCAACAATCGTCTCGTGCAAGAAACGAAAAAAAAAAACAAAAAGGTAGAATGCACCGAGAGAGAGACGGATGGGACGTGGGACGTGGGACGTCGACGGGCAGGAATGCCCACATTCAAATTCCGAGACGAGGCCGAATATTCGTTCG